AATACGCGACGACGACGCACCGTCTCGATGACGACGGCACGACGATGACGAAGAACACGAAGACGACGACGACAGCCGGCGGCGGCGGCGGTACTCGATGGCGGTTTTCTCTTTCGGAGGAATCTCTCTCCTCGGTCCCGGACGACGCCTAACACCACCACCTCCACCACCACCACCACCACCACCACGATGCCACCTACTCGATAGCAGTGCTTGCCCGGACTCACGGGACTCGACTGGGCTTCGCCAGGCCACGATACGCCCCTCGCTCCCGTCGCTTCCCCGCGCACTTGCGCCGACCGGCTATCGCTCCTACCTACCTACCCCTTCTCGCCCTGTCGCCGGATACTAGCCATCTCACGCACCTCGATCCACCCCCAGTGCGGTTGTACTAACCGTACGGCGTGCCGTAACCCCCGCGGAGATCCCACGCCCGCAGGATTGCCAATCGCGTGATTCGCCGACGGTAGGATCGCATCTCGTAAAAAGGTTAGAAAGGTTGTTTAAGATGTTTTATAGATGTTTCGAGGATCTGCACGAAAAGAGGAAAGGGCGGAAGCGGATGCAAATTACGATGGCCCGGCGATCCCGATTCAGGGTGTATGTTTTTCTCGTTAATGTTTCATTATTCATTCGTTTCATTAGCTATCAACTGTTTTTGGCACTCGCGAAACAAATGTTAAAATTCAAAGATTTTTACATGTTTTTGAGAAGAAATGTTTTTTTAACATTCCATGTTGTTATCGATTTTTTTCGCATGTACATGCATTTGTGTGGAAATCATCATTTTCGTATCAACGCTTATTATACACTAAATTCGTCGATCTAAAAGTTAATTTTTCCTCAAGGAAATTATCAAAAAGCTTTATTACTCACCGACCTGATTTTTCAATACGCATATATCTCTATAATGAAATCCTAAATTAACATTCTGTTACAGCCACTTTGTTATCGTAATCGCGATTCTTTGAAGTTTTATTGACAAGAGCTTCTTGTCTTTAGTCATTAATTATCCAATGGCTTACTGCCCATGCATTTTATCTTAATCCTGCTTTTAGAAGTTGATGCAGTAAAGATGGGACACCCGGTATAAAGTCTCGCCGATAAATGACTGCACGCACGAGACGACACGCGTTAAAGCGCAATGATGAGGACGCGAACGAAGCGGGGAAACGGGCGCGTATGTAAATGTACGCATTGCTCGACGTTCGACCTCTTGCAAGAATAGATACGCGAAGAGGAAAGCAAAAGACAGGAAACAGAGTGACGGAGATAATTCGCGACGAGAGAATCGCGTTGATCGTTTCGCGAAGGTATTCTCCTACGCGCAGTCGGTCGCATACGAATTTTTCTGCGTCCCTTTGAAGTCAAGCCGCTCAAACTTGAAAGGTACTAACCAAGCCGCGAATGTCAGTCGCAAAACAGGCCCCACCTTGCTTCGTCAATTTCACGCCTTGAACATTCTTCCCCTCCTAAACGATTAGACGTGAGAAAATTTACGTTTGTGAAAGTCAAATACTTGAACCTAATTTTCATGTCTTTTAGATAGTTCCTAGACATACAAGATGATAACTGATAAACGTGAGAAAATTCGTGCACGAAAAACCGAATACACCTGTCCACATGTATTTTTCTTAAAATCGGTTCTGAGAAAACTAATTTTTAACCGATTTTTAATTTCTTTTGTCCAAATTATTTTTTTGGAGATTTATAAAAACTTTAAAAAGTACATATAGTTAGGAGATTGATGTAATAAATTAATTTACTAAGATAAATATTAAATGTATACTGTGGAGAACAAAATTTAAATCTGAAGTTTTATATCAAATCTGTAATGTTTGACTAAGCGTAAATAACAGCACAGAAACGAAAGTATTTAAAGTGTTTAAAGGTGGAAATAAGAGAGGGTTAAAAACGGTATCTGATAATCGATCGGTTTTTCGGTTAAAGTCAATTAGTGCCAGCCCTTGTTTGATTTAAACTTCGTTTAGTGAGCATACCACGGCTCGCCGCTCGTCGCTGATATAAGCGATAACTCGGTAGCGTGTATACGGTGGCCGGACGATGCTAAAAACAACGCAAGTATCGGATTATGCTCGTTGGGTGTTGGGAGTCGATGGCGGTGTCACTTTTGTTATTTATGCGCACGTAGCGTTAGGTTTAATTTAATTTCCGCCGTTGATCTCCGAGCGTTCAGCCGTGCCGCGCCGTGCGAAATATCAGGGCATGCCGCGTGGCGCGGCCCATAATTGAATCTGTAACGGCAAGCAAATCAGCGCGGCGATCATTACGTTACACGAGTCGCACACTCGACCGGGCGATCGACGTTCGTTAGCCAATCGTTCGCTTAATTGCCGGGGGCAAGCACAATAGGCCCCGGTTAAGCCGCAGCTTTGTGTTTAAAGCGTTAAATAAACGCGGGCCCGACCCGGTTGGACGGCGGCGGCGATCTAATGGACCATTGTACTAAACCTCCATTATTATTGATATTTTTTCCGGTGGATTCGTTCGGGGATACGAAGAAACGGCGTTACCATTCCCTCGCTTTCGTTAAATCGATCTGACGATAGAGTAATGAATGAACAGAGATTAAATGTCTGGGAATTCTCGTGCGAATTCGGCAAGCAGCGCGCCCCGATTATTCGTTTCTTAAACTTCCGGTTAATTTAGATGCGTAGAATACATGAAATATTATCGTTAATAGCTTCGTCATGTGTATACATTCGAATACATTCGTAAAAAATGCTATACATACACGTGCAACAAAAATTGAAACGCTTGAGACGCTTATAGTCCATTAAAGTTTCTTACCTGAAATCGATTAACTTTTAACATACTCATTATTTTATATTGAATAACACGAGAATGTAAATCTTGTAAATCGTAAATGCGATACATTTTTATGTTATTTCCAATTTAAAAAAATTTCTTTACATACTGCAGGAAGGGATTAATTTAACAAATTGTTTTCTGAATACACATACATTGTATAACGCAGCGGTTAGTTTGATATTATTTGAAAATGTAATCATATATTTGTTTTAAGTAATTAATTTACTGTTTACTATTCATTTGATGAAAAATATTGAATTACAGAGTTCGATGCAACGAGAGGCCTATAGCGTTAAAAGTTGAAAATCACGATTAGATGATTTTATATTTTGCGTGAAAGAAATAATACATTTTTTGAGGGATGAGAAATTACGGGGATAAATTTATCAAGCGGGATGAACGTGACAGCGTAAACTCACCGGACAGCGGGCGTTTTGGCTGCATTGTGTCGCTTCGATATACAACGGAGCTGGTAGCAAGCACAAGCGGTGGAAATTTGTCGTTCGGCCGGGTACCACGATAATTAGATTTTACTTGGCTCGCTTTAATAATCCAAACAGCATGCAAAGTGCATCGCGCGCGTCCTTGCGCGCCGCGAATCCCGGCCGCAGGAGTGGCCGCGACATTAACGTCACCGTAGCCGCGAGCGGGTGACAAATTTTGCAAGACCCTCCCCCGCAGCCCTTCACTAGCTCCGAGAATTATTAATGCGTTTCCCGGAAGCGAGGTTACGAGGCTAGCGAGCGCGCGCGCGAAATTAGCGAGCTGCAAAGCGGCGGCGTTCTGCGCTACAAGCGGATTCCGATCGAGATAATGAAAATTAACGACGTTAAAGCGCCGTCACGCCTGCAATTAATTATCGCCACGGCCCGCGCTGCCGCCACTGCCGATCGGCCCACGCGGTACACCGCCGGACCCTCTTCTGTGCTATTGCTACAACATAATCGCGATATCAATTCTTCATTAATTCCTGGAGTCAAAGGACGACGCGCGCGACTCTAGAATTCTCCGCGTGCGCAGTAAGATTAATTCCATGGAAGAGGGAGAGAGAGAGAGACTCTATAAGGCTATATATAGGGTGTCCCGCCATCGCCGAATATTAATGACGTGTTGCTTAAAAATTTTACAGTCGGATAGTTTCATCTATAATTTTCAAGACAAAGTATCAATAATTTGCATCAACGTCAATCAATATTGCATATCACGACATATTCGAGAAAAATTGTCGATACCTTTAAATAGTGATTACATTATAAATTGGGAAGTTTAGACTTAAAAATTTGATTCTTGCATATAATAATTGCACAGCTAAATAAAGAGTAAATTTTTACAGAAAATATTAAAAATATGTTATACTTCAGCTTCGAATTATTATTCTTTCCAATAATTATCATCGTTAATGAGAACTGTTTTGAAGAAAGAATATCTCATCAAATATTGAAAAAAACATAACCTTTTTTTTTAACGAAAAAAGATAATTTTTGCTGGAATAATTATTTAAATTAAAAATACATTCTAACTTTTTAAATGCATGTTTTCGAATTTTCAATGATTAATGCCATCGATAATTAATGTTTAAAAAAATAAAATGTTGACTTTTAAAACATAATATAAATATGAAGGATAAATATTCGGATTTTTCAATGAAAAGGAGCAATTTTATTTATGGAAGAAGATTCTTCAATAAAGCTTAATACTCACAATTAGAATATAGCATTTTGATTTCAACTTTATTTTTTTAAATTTTATAGGAACTATAAAAACAAATGCTTCAATATGTTTTTCATGAAACATATGATTAATGTTAAATGTATATCATTATAAATGGTTATATAAATTGAATTCTCCATATTCTTAAACGTTCTTTAAAAATATCCTAATAAAACTTTCAATATAAAAAGTTTATAATTTATACAATTATAAACGTATGTAGATAGGTCGTTGTTAAAATATTGAATAAAAAATAATATTTATCTTTTCTTAATCATAAAGAAGAGAGAAATAATTGTAAAAACTCGCTTTATCGCATCTTAATACGTCTTATTGTATATTCGTTTAGCATACCTCTTATCAATACTTGCTTATTAATATATATGGATGTGTATAATCAAATTTCTAAAATTATAAAATTTTACAAGAATTTGTTTTCAATTCGTTATACAAAATTATACTCAAATCTCTTAAGTATTAAAAAATTAATTTAAAATCTGTTAAAATCTTGTGATTTTAGAAAAAAATAATCACAGATCGAACGATTTACTCTATCTTGATTGCCCATCTCGACGTACACACAAATTGTTTTACCTTTTAGTCTAAATATATCCACCCATTATCTCTGACAATAGATTAACACTTTATCTACCGCTTATCGAATGAAATCGATACACATTGCTGACCGACTCGAGTGCGGATAACTTGCTATTATCGGCTTGATTTGTCTATCGTGCGAAAATCTGCGTACTTATAAAGTTTAACTTTTAAATAAAAATTGAATTAAAAAGTACTCGTTGTATTATTCTGTTTTGTCTTGCAGCACAATTTTTAAATGTTATTATTATTAGAGAAAAATTGAATATAATGCTTCTTCAAAAAATAAGCTTCTATATCTCTAAATGTCAAAATTTCTATATAATTTCTATATATAAACTAATTAGGGTAAAATAAAGTATTTTTATGACAATTTTGATAGTTTTTTAAAAATAAAAACCAGATAAAAAAATATTTTATTCATAAAAGTTCGAATTTTTGAATTGTTAGATAACAAAATAATATTAAACAATTATGCTGCGATAAAGAAATATAAATCATATTACAAAATTACTTATATATCATAAAATCACTTTACTTTACCTTAACTATTATATGTGTTTTCTGATTTTATTCTAATTTTTAATAGTAATTATAACTTACTTTTTGGTTGCAACATATCCAAAATCAATGGCGTAAAATATGTTATAATACAATCAGCGCCTGCTCTTCTCATAGACAGTAATATCTCGTTTAATACATTCTCTAAGTTGATTGCGCCGTTCTGTGCACCGTGATACAGCATAGCGTATTCTCCCGAGACTTGGTATACAAATATAGGATATTCTGGATGTGCGTCCTTCGTATGTCGCACCACATCTAAATAAGGCAATCCTGGTTTCACCATCAGCATGTCCGCTCCTTCGTCAACATCTCTTGCCTTAAAAAAAAGAAAGAAAAAAATATAGATATTTTATACGTTACACATATATAAATTTAATACATTTCAATTATTTGCCTAATGGAATAAAAACAGGATAAATGTAAATAAAAATATAATTATAAGTATTTGAATATGACTTTGCAGAAGGCAACATTAGATGTGTATAGATCTTTATCCATTTTCTTGAATTATAGAAATATTAATATGTAAATAATAATACGTAAAGATGAGACTTACAGCAGCTCTTGCTGCCAATCCATTACTACCAGGAGGTAACTGATAACATTTACGATCACCAAACTTTGGCGCAGACTGCGATGCATCCCGGAAAGGCCCGTAAAGTCCTGACGCAAACTTTACAGCATATGACATAACTGCTACTTTATTTGAGTATCCTGCATTAGCTAGACCTTGCTTTATCGCGCTTACCCTGCCATCCATCATGTCAGATGGTGCAACAATTTGTGCACCTGTAAACGTGATTGCATTTAAAAAACAAAGATCATACTTAATTATACTTAATTATACATACTTAATTATACATTAAGAATTTTTGGAAACATAATAATTCTTACCAATTTTAGCATATGATACTGCAACTTCAGCAATCCTCTGAATACTAGCTGTGTTATTTATGGTGCCATCATTGTTGAGAATGCCGCAATGTCCATGAATTGTATAAGCACATAAGCACACGTCGCAAGCTATTAATAAGTTAGGAAACTTCTTACGTAATACTGGTACAACTTGAATTATAGGATTTTTTGTACTGTCAGCATTGCTTCCAATTTCATCCTAAAATTAAAAAGTGATTAAAATTAGATTAAATTTTGTAATTATACATTATGACATTTAACTAAGTTTAATATGTTAAAAAGTTGTAGAGCAATATTTAATATATTTTGTATAATTTCACAAAAACAAAAATATTATATTATATATGTGAATATTACCTTTTCAAGATGTTGTGATACACCAAATAACAATACAGACTGTAGTCCCTTTGCAACTAAAGGTTGCAACATCTTTTCTAATTGCTTAATCCCATAACGATATACACCAGGCATGCTACTAATAGCTTCTTTTGCATTTTCGTCATCTCTAAAATCATGTACATAAATTTTATTTATAAAATATTGTAATAAATACATTTCTTATTAATCATTTATTAATCAATTATTTTATAAATTATAGAAAAAAAAAATATTTTTAAGCCAACTTTAATTTCAATGTATTTGATAATTTTACATAATACATCTTACAATGTGATACACATACATATATACAAATTGAATAAAAGTATCTGATGTATTATATAATACAGCAATTATTTTTTCTTATTTTAGTAAAGTAAGAATGCAATGAGAAATTGGTATAAATTGATGGATTATGTATCTAGGCATGCAAATTTTTATAAAAATAGATATATGTTTAAATCTATTAATAATTACACTATAAATCAACAATCATGTGCTATACTCACGACACAAATATGGGATACATAAGATTATTGACAGTAATCTCTACATTTGGTGATTGCCACTGTCGTAAAACAGGATGAAAAATTCCACTGTGAAGAGTATGCTTAGCTAGAATTGTTGTCATCTTCATTGCTTCTCACGTCTAAACAATACACTGAAAGCAAACGTTATCTCAAGTGAATTAAATTACACATCATGACAACTGATTAGAATCAGTATAAAATTTGTTAGGTTTGAAAGACAAATTTTAAAACGTACGTGATTAAATTAAGATATTCATGAATAACCTATCATATAATTAAAAAGAATAATATTAATACTTGAGAACAACACATTTGCAAGACTGACATGAACTAACGAAGAGTAATGCATAACAAGCATGACATGCTGAAAATAGTTGCGTGTGCTTGCAGTTGCTGCACTCAGTTTCTAGTGAATTTTTTGGTAAGTGTTGTGTACCGGGAAATACAAACTAGCACAAAATGACTCAAATTAAAGAAATACCAGAAATTGTTAAATTATTAATAATTTATTAATAATTAAGAAGAATCTGATGAAGAACTTTTACCAACGATGTCAACGCATTCGTGTGAAAAAAATGTAAGTACAGAAATTATGTAAATTCCAATTTTTATATTTAATAAGATTTTTTTATATTGTTTTGCATTTTAACCAATAAAATATTTCAATTATTTTAATAGAATTCAAGGTATTTTACAATATTAAGAATCACTTATAATTATTCAAATGTATATTTTTTCATAAAATATTTATTATTGCTATTTTATACGAGATATCAACCCCTTTCCACAATTATACTTGAAAAATATATTTTACCTTACTTATGGAATCTGTATGAGAATGCACAGGTTATAGATAAATAAATAAATTTATGAAAGAAACATTGCAAATAAAACGTAGTATATAACTTTATTTCATTGTCTTAAAAATTTTTTGAATTTTTGAATATCGAGCGAAGTAGCAAGCACTTCTAGAATTAAATATTGAGCATTATTTGGATCTGACTGAGCGTTCGTCACTGTTGTCATTTTGTACAACCAGCTAGCTGCAGGACTACCCGATTCTACTCTTATGCGTGTGCGTAACAGTCCAGTGCTGGCCAACAGTATCTCTTCTATTTTCATGCGCAAGAAATCAATTCCTGTAAATATTTAAGCAATTTTAAAATTGTTCCATTCAAGTTGCAGTTAAATCTCTTTACTCCTTTAGCAGTGACAATAAATCATAATCACACCTGAGAGATTTGTAGCAGAAACGGCAATCGAATCTTTAGGTATGCATTCATTTTCAACGAGATCGCATTTATTGGCTACATCAATTATCGGACGAGCCTGATCTATCATGGGTTTTATTGTCTGTTGGACGTGTTGATACTGCGCTTTCATATCAGGATGACTGACGTCGTATATATGAATTATCACATCCTAGAAAAAAATCATTAAATTGAGAAACTTTTCATTAAAGATAATAATAATAATATGAAACATACAGCAATTAAAGCATCCTCTAGAGTTACAATAAATGGTTCAATTAGAGTTTCTGGTACGTCTTGAATAAATCCAATAGTATCCATGTACAATATTTTTAATCTGCTGGGTAAAATTCCTTCATGAGCAGTGGTGTCAAGAGTGGCAAATAATTTATTTCTAGGTTGCAGAGAACTGTCGTCTGTAAGTGCCTTTATTAAGGAAGTTTTCCCTGCATTTGTGTAACCAACTATAGCAACTGTGGGAAAACCAAGTTTTTTACGATGGCTTCTGATAAGTTGTCGATGTTGCTTTAACTTTTTCAACTCGTTCTTCACTTTCTTCTCTTTATTATCGAGCAACATTTTTGTCTTTTCCGTCAAGTTTATTGCTCCACTGCGATTAATGCACGTTTCGAAGACTTTCTTTCGGATATATGGTATTTCTGCTAAGGCCACTTGTAGTTTTGCTTCCGAGCTTTTTGCATGCTTACGGAATATGTGAATAACTATGGAGTAACGATCATATACCGGTAAGCCAAGAATTTTTTCCAATTCAGTGATTTGAACAAATTTCAACATATTAGTACTGATAAATATGGCAGTGGGGTTTTGACATCTGCTTAATTCTTTCTTCAGATCTTGCATTGCACCAGTACCCACCAAATGTTGCTTCTGCAATGTAAGTAATGGAGCATACTTTGTTCCAACTACGCACCAGTTGGGTAAAGTGTTTATGAGTGCTACAGCTTCAGCCATTTGTAGCTCTGGCGAAGTGTTTCTCTTCTTGTCTTTACCCCACTTTATATATGGTTGTAAAATAAATGTTCTATGTCCTCCTGCTGCAATGCCTAGATAACGACTAGAAATCTTTGTGTACTCTTGATCTCTTTCATCTTCTTCAGTCATAGATTTCTCAGAATCATGACTGAAGCGACAAGCAATATTTTGTAACAATATTCCCGATCTTTTATAAATTGTAGTAACTTTGTTGCACACTTGTAAATTCTGCTGTGCAATATTTATTATTTTACATATGCAATGCATCTTGTACTTGTAACAATATTGTTAGATTCAATCTATAACACAAAAATTACTTATTATTCGAATTTTATATAAAATATTCAATATTAATGTAGTTTTATTATGCTGTGTAAAATACAATTTTCTAACCTGTTTCGTGTGCTTTGACATTCCACTTTTTATCATCTACACAAAACCGTGCGACAATTATGTACACAATATAAATAATTAACATAAATATATGTTGAAAATTGGAAATAATGCAAAATCACATTGCCATTCATAATTTATCCTTTGAAATATTTACTTGTACGATTATGTAAACTTGCACCTTTTAACCTTACTTCTGACGAACGTAAATAAATCAATTGGTTGGAAACAAGCCAAATGGTTTGAGACTTGGCTAAAACTGGCTTCGAGCTGAGAGAGAAAGAATCTAAGGAATGATGCTTACTCTGTCTCGCACGTTTATCTTACGTGTTTGCGCATGTGTGGTACCCTCTCCATGCTTGCGCTCGTATCTGGCCACACTGACGTAGTTTTTACCGATCAGCTGATTCTATGAATGCGGTACATAAATACATATTAAATGTGATTAAATTATAAAAAAGAGATAAAAATTTTATTTATATAAATATATTTTTTTTAAATGCAAGAAAATTATTATAAATATTACGCTAGCAAATGTAAATTTATATCATTTATACATGTATATCTAATATATTAAAATTTACATTATTATTTAGAGCATTAAAACATATATATTTTACGTTTATTTTACGTGAATATATTCAAATGTTAAACTTACTAAGATCGTAATATTATATAATTTATATAATATTATTCAATACTAATGTTATGATGTTTAGTGCAGATATAATTTGATTATTATAAAAAGTATGTTAAAACTGCAAAAGATCGCAAATACTATATTCATGTTTTTGCTGACGCATAGATGATTTTTTTAGTCATTAATGATTCTAATTGTTAAGGACACTTTAGTTGACGTACACAAACGTATGCCACGTGACGACCACTTATCGGAGCGGTATCGGCTGTCAGGCTCCTCGCCTCCGCTTGCGAGCCACAGTATCGCGAGATTGACGGATGTGGATACGTCGCAGCGGAAATGGAGTCGGGAACACTGGCAAGAGTGTTGCACGACTTCCTTACCACCGTCGACGGAGAACTAAGCCTTTCTAAAGGACATTATTTCCTGGTATCTGTTTAATACATAACCTAGTGAATAGTCAAGTATAAACAAGATGTGATTCAAGATCTGAATGCAGATTATATGATAAATAGCTTCACATTTTGCAAGACGTCTATTAGAGTGTCTATTTAAAGCATCGATCATGTAATTTTTTTCTAGGAGTGAAAACATAAAAAGTAAAAATTTCACGCGAATTCGACGAATAGAATTGTTGAGTTCACATAAAAGTTTTTATTTTTCACATTTCCACTCCTAGGGAAAAATTATATGATCGATGCCCAGAACATTTAATCTATAAAAAAGTGTAAAAAATTAAAAATAACACAGTGACCTGTTTTCCTTTCAGATACATGAAATCATAGATAAGCATTGGTGCTTCGGTCAGTCTCAAGACAGAGTTGGCAGGTTTCCTTTGAGCCATTTGCATAAAGTGGAAATTCCTCAACTGAGTGAGACAGAAGAACTGTTTGTCGCTCTAATTGGTTTTCCTGGACAAGAAACTGGAGACCTGTCCTTTGCACAAGGTAAGAGTTGTTTTATGTTATTATTGTATTATATTAGAATATAAATTCTTAGGAATTCTTTGTGGATAGTTTTTGAGCATTAATATTGCGAATGCAAATAATGATTTTAAACATAAACTTATTGATACTAGGAGAACTCATAATTGGAACAAGGAATATTGGTTCAGGATGGTATGTGGGCAGGACAAGTTTGAAAAATGGTATTTTTCCAACAACACATACATGGCAACTTGATACAATGTTGATAAAGGTAGTTTGAGGAAATCACATCTTATGTGATCTTGTGTTATTATTATTATCTCTGTTAATTAATAAAAATATTTTTTGTAGAAAACAATGAAAAAGAAATCAATAAGAAAAAAAGCCAAAGTAAAGACAACATTGAAAGCTCAACTTGACGAAGAGTTGGATCTAACCGCAGGAGAGATGATCATTGTCACAGAAATTTTGGATGATGGTTGGTGTCGTGGAGTTACAGAAGATGGTAGAGAAGGCATATTGCCAGAAGGATTTATATTCTACGTAGATGCAGATGAAGACACAATCGATCAGGGAGAAGTAACGTCCACAACAAAGAGTAATTTTGCACCTTCCTCAACATCTTGCGATAACACAATTTACAAAGATTTTGGCGAAAGTCCTTCCATCAATTCCTACATGAACTTATTCAATGAGCCTGCTCCAAGCTACTTCGATTTGTTCCCAGAGGCTTTATCATCAACTAATGATACAAGTGACACACAGTGCAGTACTCATATGAGTTCCGACGACGTTAAGCCGTATGCTATAACATTATATCCATTTAATGCGCAGTTTCCAAACGAGCTAAGTTTCGGAATGGGTGAAGTGGTGCATCTCACCAGGCACATCGATACCGAATGGATGGAGGGTATAATCGATAATGCGAGAGGCATTTTTCCATCATCTTATGTCAATATTATAGTCGATTGTGCGGAATCTAATCAGAATCAAGTTCAGTCTGAAGTAATTCCTGCGAAAAAAGATGCTTTAGAGTCGGGCGCTACTGTAAAAGTGCGATTCACTTTTGAAGCCCAGATGGATGGTGATTTGAGTGTCCACGAGGGAGAAGTTGTTACTGTGGTAGAAATGGCTAACGAGGATTGGGTGAATGTGAAGGATAAAAATGGCCTGATCGGTTTGTGTCCGCGAGAATACTTGAATTCAGTGTCCGAGCATTCCTCGGACAGCTTGCAGGAATCGAATTTGGAAGAATTCGAAGATTTTGTGTTGGTTAGGCATAAGGAAGCGAGTGCCGTCGTGCACGAGGAAGAAAAACCAAAAAGAATGTCGCAACCACACAGGCCAGCACCACCAGCTCCGGCTCCAGGTAGAGTGCCATTACAGAGAGAAGCTATTGTAAATGGAGAAGTGTCCGCTCAGGAAACTCAAGAAAATGAACCTGCAATGAGTAATCCAATTGATATGAAGCAAAAGCGCGCGGATCAGCGACAAAATGTAATATCGGAGTTAGTTATGACAGAGAAGGAATACGTTCGCGATTTAAAGTTGACATACGAGACATTTAATTTACATAATCCGAGTTTTCTCCAATCGAAAGGGATCGATGTCGCTACGTTGTTTGGAAATATTTTGGAAGTTATTCATGTTGCTGAAGAATTACTGGATATGGTCTTGAAAACAATGAAAGGCTGTGACGAAAACTTCCAAATGGTCGGGCCTTGTTTTGTGAAAATGGCTGAGAAATTGAAAAATGTTTATGTTAAGTATTGTGGAAATCATGAAGCAGCGTTAATTTTATTAAAAAAGGTAAAGAACGCGAATAAAATTTTAGTGGGTAAAACCTATCTATATATATAACATAGAAAGTTTGCGGTAATTTAAAATTATATAATCAAATCTCACTCATTTATGTTGCAGTATGAAAATAACGAAGAGATCATGAAAGTATTTAACAAAGGTATCGAGACATTACGTCGCCAAGTTGCTTGCTTTGATATGAGCTCCATCCTGATAAAACCGGTTCAAAGAATTTTGAAGTATCCGCTAATGTTATATGAATTAATAAAGGTAAACAAAATTAATGATAACGTGAGAAGTATGTGAGTAGTTTATTTTAAAAACAGTATAAATACAATTTCAAATTTAATGAGATGCTGGTAAACCAATATAATTTCAGCAAAATTTACTAACCTAAATCACTTTTCAAATAAACGCTTATATACATATGCGTATGTTTGCATTATAAATCATGCGTAAAAAATAATTTTCAGTGTACGGAAGATGATCATCCAGATAAAGCGACTACAGAAGAAGCATGGCAGGTTATGACAAATGTAGCCAGTTACATCAACGAGTACAAACGCAGGAGAGATATCGTGTCCAAATATTTAGACAATGATAACACTTTAATTGGCAAAATGTCGAAATTAAGTATGCATTCTGTGGCGAAAATGTCTACAAGGCTAAGCACAAAATTGTCGGCGACTCTAGGACTGACAAATGTCGCGAGCGATACCGAATTCGAGGAGCTTGAAAAACAATTTCACTCTATAGAGAAATGTACGTGGCAATTGGCAAAAGACGTTGAGCAATGTACCGTGCATTTGAACGAAGAAGCCATGTCTGGTGAAGTGATAGCCGAATTTCTGGCTCATTATTATCAGGGAACTCCAACTGCTGAGGTAAAAAAATTGCGACATATCAGATCAACAATTTGGTCTCAATACGTGCAGGATTTCAAGTCATGTATCGAAAAGAGGGTCAGCGCGCCGTTACATCTCTTAACTACTCTGTTAGAAGGACCAGCGGTGTTAGTAGCGAAGAGACGCGACAAGTTGCTGGATTACGACGCTGCTATTTCTAGGAGTGAGAAATATAAAGAATCAAAAATTGTAATTATTGCACATGGTTTAGTCTACTACAAGTGTCATTCCTTTCAACATCTTTTCCATTTGCGATTTATCTCACTTCTCAGGTTCAAGAAGAATTATTTACTGCCAAGAGTAATTACGAAGCAATGAATCAGCAGTTGCTGGAGGAATTACCGATGTTACTTGACGCCGCGACGAATATTTTAGTCAATTGCATAAGCACTTTCGCGGGCGCCCGAAAATTGCTAAGCGGAAGAATTACTCAGCAATATTTGACTCTTTGCGAGGTATGTAATTAAAATTCTTTTGCTTCGATAAAAAATTTTTTTCTACCATAATCTGAATAAACGATAACTCTCTGCTCTCCAGACGTCGCCGCAATTATCATCGCAAGATGTGCTGGAGTCTTTTCTTGTAAATCATAATTTAGTGTGGAATCAAATAACACGCTTTGCGTTCGCTGGCACAAATCCTCGAATCGAGGAGAGCCAATCACAGTTGTGCACGCAAACTGAAAAGCAGAGATCCTTGCTTAGAGAGAAATATACAATAGACAAGTTATATGTGGTGGTTGAAGACGTTGCCAGCACTTCCGCGCTGGATGTAGCTGCTGCGAAAAACACGTTGATCGCGGCCATAAAAAAGCAGGATCCGATGGGAGATACAGCGAGGTGGTACGTCGACACTGGAGTCACTCAGGGATTTTTGCCCTCTCAAAAGCTGAGACCGGTTCAGCGGCAGAGCCAGCACCAAGATCAAATCGCGTCGGACGTCGTTGGTACTGCGAAGAAGAACTCCAGTCCTCCGAATTTGATGTCGCTGGATTCCCCGGAGAAGGAAATCATCAAGGCGTCTCAATCGCATCTGCAAGATTTGCTATCGTTAGATGTGAATCAAGAGCCGAGAGTAAATCACAGTTATAGCAACATTCCGGAAGCACCGAGAGTACAGGTGTATCAAAATATACATAGCGAAGTTAGTACCTTAATATTCCGTCGATTATACTTCAATATTCTTCTATTAACATAACTCGATTTTTTAGTTTTATTACGCGATGTACGATTTTGCTGGGAACATGCCGGGTACATTGCCGATCACTACCGGCCAAGCCCTGAGACTGCTCCGACCTCACGACGAGAAAGGAAACAACGAGTGGTGGCTCGTAGAGAATCGTGACGGTAAACAAGGCTACGTTCCGCGAAATTATTTAAGTTCGACAATTGAACTAAAGTCATAGCTAAAGCCATAATGATGAAGATGAAATCAAACTATAAAGCACAAGTTTTACATTTATAATATTACAATCATACTGTAAGATCGTGACAATTAATTTCCTTGAAAAATTGTTAATGAAATTTCGATATTAGTTCTGATCTATAATTGGATTCAGCTGTGATTTTTCCACAAAGTATATAATACATATTATTAATATATAGTATAATATAGTAAATTAATTGATGAAGAAGCTTATAAATTCTTTTCATTTAATTGAAATGCAAAAAAAGAGCTTTATTCTGGTCTGATTAATCTTACAGGTTTAAAAAGATAATTAATTAGAATTCGAATGTATCCACGCGTCAATACTCGAGGATAATTTTTGAACTTCTCATTAGAGTACTTAGGTTTATACATGTTTCATATTTATAGAATTTTTTAAGATTTTTACACATTTATCATTCGTTTTATTGTTATATGCGTGTATAAACAGTGTATATAGTGTATATAGTATTTTATCGAAAATAACACGTTTCTTCTGTGATGCTTGAATTATAATTAATTTTACAGAATTAATAATTAATATCATTGTAAAGGAAATTATACATATGTTCTTGCCTAACAAAATAATGTTCTAGTAAAATATTTTTGTTATATATGCCGCAAGCTCATCGATATACAAACTTCTGATTTTTTCTATTTCTATAGAAGAATACGAAGAACATTTCTCTCAATGCACTGTTATGCTTAAACTGATCTTTATATTACTTTTTCGAGTGCAATTTCTAATGTATATTTGTATAGTGTTATATTTGTCGAAAATTATACATTACATGAAATATATGAACATTTACAATAAAGATCTTAATAAATAAAATGTTACGAGAAAAACAAATTCCTTTTTTAATTAAAACCCATATTAGTTCCAATTGAAAAGATTAATACACCTTTATTAATAATTTAAGCCAAGTAACTAGTATTTTTATTTAAGAAATAAACTATTATCATGCTATTTTGAAAATCGAGAATAAATTATTAAACTTAGCAAATAACTAGATAAGTGAATATTATTGATAATAAATAAATTTACTGATTATTCATGATTTCTTGAGGATAATTAGTTACTTTTTATTTACAATTAAAATATGAGTCAGTATGCAAAGAAGCATTCAATATAATTTAGCGTTGCTAAAAATTGATAGAAGACTGGAGAATAAAACGCACATTATTAAAAAAAGAGAAAAAATTTATTAGCTATGTTATTACCATAATATAACGCATTTACTGTTATCATTAACAGTAGATACAATAATGTGACACGATGTGTATGCTCTAGCGCTAAGCTACCGCTTAAATGTACACATAATAAAAAAGAAGAGGATATTTATTGATATACTCTTTAAAATAAACAAAACAGTCTTTCGAGGTACAGTGACTTGCGACTGCATTGCGATTGCACGCGATCATCATTCGCGCTCGAGTCGTAAGCTTACACGAATGTACTTACGCTAACTTATGCTAAACAGAAAATGAATACTGATCTAACGATAAATGTCGATCAACGAGATGTACCGAACGCGAGTATATGCACGCTCAATAAAAGTTGATCCATTTTACGCGAGTCAAACGTTGAATTACATACAAACTTGTTATTATGCTCTTATCGTGCCGATTAATGATAAAGCTTGGATCCGCGATTTCGTATCTCAATTTCGCGAAACCGTCGGCAGATATGATGGATTTATGTAGGACCGCTTATCATTTAACACAATCGATCATCCGTTCCTCTTGGAATTCGCAATTTAAGTGCATTCTTCTGTATAATTTATAACTATGATTTATTAAATACAATCTCAATATGCATCGCGCGGCTAAAATCCTGATAAAATAACATACCGTTTTACGCGCACGGCACCATAAAATGACGTATTATCAATATAATGAGATAACCATAGGCGAATCTAGGAAGGCCTTGGCAGGAGAACCAACTGGAAAAATGTCATCAAATATGGTCAAAGCTGATGTGCTTAAGTTTAGCCTCGTTACTTAGCTATCTTCGAAACAGAAATCGTATTAAAAAATTTATGCATAATTAAATATGTCGTATCATTGATTAAAACGCTATGCAAGTCCTTTTTAACGCAAAAAGGCCCTGAGAAAGCGTGATCGCTAACTAGAAAATATATTAAATAGAGAAATTGATCTTAATTATCTTACAAACCACGCGCCAAAATCAACCTAGATCTATTTACGAAGCAATTAGTTCGTTTTTGTTCATATACCTTTCGTAAAGAAACAGCTCCATATCTTATCGATCACGGTTCTCAGCTTCGTAACATTGTTTATCATATTTTAGTGCTACGGCAATTGTCGTTTTAGGATTACCTCACTATAGCGACGACGTCTTACTTTATGGTAGAATGAATCTTTACTATAATTCAACATTATCCCCTTATTTTTTAACGGGAAACTTATTTCTAGGCTCACACAGGCATCCCCATCGATTATTATTTCTGAATTGACACTAAACATACACATTTGATCTTGCAATATCACTGCAGTACGCATCGAAGTGTGTTCATATATCGGACTTGCTTGGATCTTGCAGTGGTATTTTGTACGTGCGTTAGCGGTGTTTGTCGACGTCTCGTCGAAAAACATCGCTCACAACAGTCATAATAGTGACATTGTATGTTTTAGATAATTATAAGATGCGTCAATTTGTCGCTGCTGTTATTGTATTTTTCAATAATTGAGGTAAATAGCGGCAAATGTTACTGCCACGGTAAAGAATACCGCTTGGAATTAAACAGCACGTTCGATGAGGTCATCGATTCTATCATCGTGTAATTAGAATGATTCTAAGATCCTTTGTTTACATCGAATTTACATATAGCTAACTGGTATTCACGCCATGTCATAGTTCAACGAAACTGTTTAATAATGTAGTACGTATTTGACGCAAACAAAGCCTTAGAATTATTGCAATGCTGTTGCAAATTACATTCTAAATATACGACGAGAAATATAGACTTCAATCGAACATGGAACAATGATACCAAAGACGTATTTTATAATAGGATCTTTTCGACATTCATTCATCTGTTTTAAGCAAAAATATCCGCTTTAGTTCCTTTTGTATTTCCGTAGATACCAGCGACTTTAAATAGGCATTATTAGCCATAATATGAAATATTAAGATGATAGTTAATATGATATTTCAAGTCGTTTTAATTCTTTTGACTTTCCTATTGCTATTTTCTAGGCACCGACGACTTTAAAGTACTCATATCAGCTGTGGTACAAATATTAAAGATAATATAGTTAACATGACTATTTGTAGTTGCCGGTATTTAGTGATTCATAAGTATCAACGCACATCGACGAAAGTCGAAATTAACTTACTCTTGTATGTATCATATGATCTCAACATGACGGCGTCGAAGTTTCATGTGAAGGAATGCGTTTTAGAACAAGAAATATATTGCTTTGTGTAAATATCTGCGTGTTTTTCATTCAGCATTTTTCCGTTCAAAAATCTATGAACACGAAGAATGGAAATACCATCTCCGGTTGTCAACTGCCTGTAATGTTGTCTGTATGCTTTATTAATGCATGTGTTTTACGCATTATTATTCTTGATTTTGTTTGGCGTTAACAAATAACAAATATTAGACATCCATTAGGAAAGCAGAGAACCTTGTTTTACTTATGATAACGTTTCCTTCATGTCGTAACGATTATACACCGGTTTATCTTGTGTGACATCGATGCGATTCACACATATGTATGTTTATCTTTCTTCTTAATGAGAGCTAAAGGCTCTCGTTGCTTAAAAGTTATATCAATCCATAAAATGACATGTCGCGTCTGTCTCGCCTTGTTTTGTCGATAAAACCTGTCCGCGAAAAAAATCTGACAGGAAAGATTCTTCGGTTTACTGTATGGACCTAAGATCTTCCCTTTGAAGATAAAATATTTCTCAACATTAAAATGAGCTATACGAAATGCTCAATGAAGCCAAATGCGACTTCCGCAATATTTACTGTCGTTACTGTATGGGATTTATCGAGGCAGCGCTTAATGTTTGATCAGCCGTAAACTGGGATCCTCGTTCATTCTTTCGCTCGCTCATTACGGTAACGAACCGCGTCATAAAATTGCCGCATTATTTCCGCGAGATCTTCCGCGAATTAAACCTCCCTGAACGTGTCGTCGAATTCCACTCGAAGACCTCGTCAATCTTTGTATCGGCGAACTATCGCGGAACATACATGTATATTGACGCCTAATCTAAACGCTGGCAGTCAGTACGAAACAACTACTTTCCCACGATAGTACAATAGCAATCGGTCTTATATCGAGACTCCTAAACGCACACGCGTCGATCATAGTAACAATTCTCACTACCTGGGCCTGCGTCATGATGTTTTTCGATCGTCGTCGTCGTCGCCGAATCTATTGCCTGTCAATCCGCGATCGCGGAGAAATCTTTCGGCGAGGAATCCTTTAATCGGCGGGGTAGAAACGGAGAATCGCACGACCTTGGATCTCCGAATGGCAAAGTTTTTGGACGACGTCGAGGGCTTCCTCGGCGGGATAGACGGTGTGCGGTGGCGGTTCGATCTTGCCGGAGGCGACCAGTTGAACCAGTTCGCCTAACTGCTCCAAAGTGCCCGGTTCCACCGCTTTTATGGATTGCTGCCGTTCTTCCGCTCGTCGGCTGAATTTCGGCAACAATCGATCGGCCACCTCTTTGATTACAAACACCACGCCGCCTTTACTGAGGCACTGCATGCTGCGATGGAGATTGCGCGAGGTCGTGCCGAAGTCGATCACCACGTCCACCTGGCCACCACAGGCGTCCATCGTGCGCTCGATCAGCTGCTTCTCGTAGAGATCTTCATTCCACTGCACCACGCTCACTCTACAATCCCAAAAGTATTCAAGAATTAATTGATGAATGAATGAGCTTCAATCGTATTCTATTTGAAAATAAGCTTCTCTAATTCAAAATTCTTTATTTCCTTGATTTCGAAAATTCTTTCAAATCTAAGAAGACCACTCAGTAATTTTCATACAAGAGTCATCTAAATTTTAAGTAAAGCTTTCAATAACAAGAATATGATGATTGCTCTTGACGAGTCTATTCAATTTATTAAGTTGTTAAAATTGCCTATTTGATTAATAATTATCTCAATCAATCTAATAAAATCGATACTACAGCTTACCGTTGGAATTCCTGAGCTATGAGAAGACCGTCGTCTTTAAGAGAGGCTATTGTGGTGGTGACTCTGTCCCTCATGTTGCTGAAGTGATACGACGCGATTCTGAGAGCCCACAAAGCGAGACCACCCGTGCCAACCACCAAAATCTTGCACACGCTGTTTGCACCTCTCTCCTTCAATAATGCCTGCAACATTTCACCGTGTTTCTGCATTATCTTTTTCAGTTGCAAAAAAAATATCATCGCACAGTCTTAATTGATCACTCAAAACGATTATAGCCGAATTGGAAACATTCTTTCTGCTGTTAAAATAAATGTGCAGAAAAGCATTATATTTTTAAAGAACTGGCTTTATTCCATTTATCATCTACTTGATTAAACTGGCATATTAAAAACTGTGGCTAATCGTACCTGCACGTGTTCGTGAGCGGCGAAGACGGTGTTCATCGCGAGAAGCGCACCAGCCGGCAGCATAGCGGCCACGCTGAGCGACATACTGTCCGGGATCTTTATCAGGTATTTCAGATCGTGCACAACCAAGTATTCAACGTAGCCGTTGGGGATGCCGTCGTAAGGATAGAGAATCACGCGATCGCCCACAGCGAGCTCGCAGCCCTCGGGCACGTCGGTGCCGAAGGACTCGATCACACCGGCCACCTCGTACCCGGGGAACAGTGCGGCATCGCGCATCCCATGATGCGGCAGAGACACCGGATAGTCGCTCTCCACGGATATATCGGCGGCCAGACTGCTGCCGCTCGAGACCGAAGTCAAGCTGGTGAGACTTGGCGAGCGTCGAGGATGATAACACGCACCAGCGCACATCACTCGAATGCGGGCACCGTGCGCTGGCACATCCGGCACGGGCACATCGAAGCTGAAGACACACTCCCGTCCGGTCACGCTCGGACTCTCAATAGAGAGTTGGCGGCACAGTTTGTTCATCTTCTCTCTGTAACATCAGATTAACAACATGAATCTTCGGAAAACAATCTCTATCAGGATTTAATAAGCCTATTTTTCAATTATTTTTTAGCAATAAATTAAAAAAAAAAAAATGTAGATACTTGTAGATTTAAATCTTTTTCAGTAAAATAATATATATAATTATTATAATTATTAAAAACCTTGTGTATATATTTATTTATATCGAGCTATCTTTAATTATAGATAAGTGAACAAAAAGCTTCAAGTGCGTATGCAGGGTTTATTAGTGATATGACGTTTTCCGCTTGAAGTAATTTCTTTATTAGCGAGCTAAATGGAGTTATTATGACCGCAATAGGAAAAAAGCATTCGAGTAATTGATAATGATGCATTTTACAATTGGCATCTGATTAATTAATAGTAATGTATTATTCTTTTTCTACAGTCGCGTGTGGAACGGTTTGATACCAATGTTAAATTTGCCGGAAATACATTAGTGTCAACGTGCCTGGCACAAAGAAACCCGTCAGACGCACAGATCAGCTGTTTTAATCTTTCTTTCAGAGCGGACGCTTGGAAGCACGTTTTTGTGCGAGAATGCTTATAAATATTGTGTAAGAAGGAAGAAGTGTGACGTATTGTGATATCTTTCTAGCACTTTTATTGTAGCAAACGTGAGTTTAATAAATAAATTTTATAAATATACCAACGTGTCGAGCCAAAAACATAAAGAACAATGTTTAACGTTAACATATACAAATGCTTTACAAATCTTACATTAATTTACATTAAATTCGATTAAACTTACAATAAAAGTTAAATATGTAAAATAAAATTTAAAAATTAATTGCACTTATTGAACAGCAAAGAATTTTATTTATCACAATCTATTAAAAAAAGGAAATCAGAATCTTTCAAAAGTAATTTAAATTCTGCTGCGATTAGAGAGAGTTCAATTTGCTAAACCTCAAGTGTATGTATAATTATCATTCCCAAAAAATCGGCACAATGCACACCACACCTTTTAAAATAAAAAATTAACAGTTAAAACAAAATATAAAATGTTTTAAAATTGCCTACCCATTACGAGAGATGGCTTTGTGAGCGACAGGCGCCATCGATTCTAACTCCACCGGCATAACCAATTTAATTAAAAATATTTTTCAAAACCACACTGCAGTTTTTTTTTCACTCAAAAAACGTTGCACTCAAACTGCAACCGCTTGATCAAACACTGCTTCTAACGACAAAAAAAATGTTTGCTCTCTAATTTGCTCAACTTTCAGATCTAAATTCTGTAACTTCGCAAAAAATTTACGACAGAAAACAGAAAAAAAATTCTACGAAGAAACAAATTATTGACACATCTATCTCACGTCGCGCAAGACGCACTAATCCGTCGCATCGACGCGCGTTCGTTTTTATACCACTTGCAGACCGGCGCACTTGTGACAAGGTGGTAGGGAAAGTGAAGGCGCGGGGACGAATGGAAGAGGCGCGCGGAGCATTCGTAGACCACGTGCAACGGTTGTTTTTTCTGGCATCTGTTTTTGTGTACTTCGCAGCAGCGACGTCTATGTGCCGGGGCTCGCGTGCAGCTTGAAAATGAAGCGCTTTGTATTTGACAGTGATAACATATGAGATGGACTTTCATGAGGGATACTGGAAATGCCACAACACCCAAGTACGTTTATTCGAGTAATTTATAGTCAGCTTTTTTCTTCAGCAAAAATTTAATTAACCATTGTATAATTTTTACATCCGTTTAGTTTTCAATGTGTTGGTAAGCGTTACAATAACATTTTACTAAAATAAAACTTATTTAGAGGTAGATAAAAAATATTTTTTTAAATTGTATCTATGAAGTGTGTGCAATTTGTGAAGAACTATTCATATTTAATTGCTTCTAATTCGGAAAAAATGTCTTTCATGTTTATAAAGACTTTTCTTTGGTCGCTTTGTTTCAATATTTAATTATAAAGCTTAAGATTTACCGTTTGAAAATTTTCAATGCACAATGAAAGAAGTATTAAGAAAAAAATCAACTTTAAAATTATCAAATAATTTATTCTCAGAACATTAATTAATAAGATATAATTAATTGCAAAACACGATCATTTCATTAATTTATTTTACTTTTCTGTTAATTTTTGTATAAATAATTCTAAAGAAATTCTTTTTTAGACAGAAAATAATTTTTAAGCCTGATAATGAGTGCTTCACAAACTAATTATTTGGTTTGGTAGATTTTATAGAATACTTGAATATTTATATCACGTGATAGATGAATCATACATATGTTCGTTATCTGAAATATTAAAGACTTATATAGTAACCCTTTGTTTATAAATTTATTATCCATCTGATATTATGTTATCTACGCAATATGACCCTCTCTCTTTTCTCCTACTTGGTGATCACACATATGACACTCTACAATCACGCATGTACATTTGCGTTGAAATAATTTATAATGCATGAAACAACGACTAACATCAAGCGTTTTATCATTTTTGCCGATATCCAGAGCGTGATATTTGTTTACAAAACTGTCATTCGATAAAATTACTAAGCATTTTAATTATTTTTTGTTTCTTATAATAGCATTAATTAATTCTCATTTGTCATATATACATTGTGATATGTTTCTATCATTCTTCAATATGAGAAAATATGACTGTTAATGCTAATTAAACATTTCTATGCTTAATATAATGATGACAAAAAAATCGTGCAGTTAATTACGATCTTGCTTAAAATATGATTATATTAAGAAATTTTTCTCACAAGTCTACTCTCAAATTTTTATGGAATTATTATTTTTAGAATTATAACTTTTTCGTTTAAAATATTCAACAACAACAGTATCGGGCTAAATTAAAAATGAGCTAAGAGAGGAAACAAAATAACAATGTTAATTTAAATTTTAATAGCAATAAGGAAAAAAAAACAAAAAAAATATTATATGCGATTTTTTAAATAGATTATATAACTTCCGTTATCAATTTCAGCTGATATATCGTGACGATTAATTTTGTCATGCTTAAATAAATTATCCACACTTTTATCCGCTTTTATTGACTTTCAACTTCAATTAAATTTTATATATTTTTAAGTGATTCTACTTTGCGGAATTTAATTGTAAGATTATTCATTCATGATAAAAAAAATATACATATAGATGCTAAAATTATTTTACTAAAATGTCAATTTTGATCGGAATCATTTTTTTCTTTTTATTCGAAAAAATAAAATATTTTAGTTAAAAATACAGAGAGAAAAATAAAATAGTTTATTCTCATTGTATGTGCAAAGAAAATATGTTTTCGCAATTTTAGTAAAACTTTTAGATGAGATATCCAGCTTCTATCTGGTCATAATAATTTATTTGTTGATTTATAGCTTATCTATGATTTTTTTTAAATTATGTGCGTTGCGTAGCAGATAACATTTATTTTCCCTGCTGTCAAGGACGTTAACTATAAGGCGATTTTATCTCTGCTGGATATTTGAGCGAGAACGGAATATGCTATTTCTGACACATCGATCGTTGTATAAGTATGACTTATACGGGTGTTGACTTCGTTCTTATCATGTAAATTTTTAGGTGAATTATGCTGTGGCATGCGTTATATTATATATAACACAATGTACAATTTGTCTGAGACTGAGGAAGTGCATTCTGCGTGTTACTAAAATAGTCGTGAATTGAGGCTAACCATCTGCGATTAGGCCGCGGTTATGTGTTGATCAGTAAGAAGATGTATTACTGTTATAATCATGAAACATGCAATCAAGAAACTTTGAATATGGAGAAGAACATGGATCTTCTTTCATGAAGAACATGGATCAAAAAATAATGTTTACATTTTAATAAAAAATATAATTAAATGGTCAAAAATGTAATTGTGATAAAAATTTAATAATATATAAATATTCATCATTTAATGAAAACAACAAAGATGTATTATTATTATTTGTTATCTTCAAGCTATACACTATATTGAAAATTAGATTTTTTTCACAAACTGAAACAATAAATAAGAAAAAAGTTTGTTAATGTTTTTTAATTTCATTCTGATATATTATGAGATTAAAGTTAATTAGATAAATCTTACAATTAGTGAAAAAAGAAAATATTTTTAAAGATGCATTATGTAGCTTAAGACTTGGTTTCAAGGAAGGCGTTCATAATTAACTCATTGTTGCATCACTCGAGGAAACATTAATCGGCACGTCCGTAAGTAAAAAACATGGTGTGGCTCGTTATATAAGTTTGCAAGTGGGATGATCCAATCATCGTTTGATCATCGCTTGACCTCAATAGAAATTAAACAGACAACACATTTATCGTAATCAATCCTCCTAGAGGCGTGCCCGCACATCGTTACCATTATCACGTGCTAAAGTTCGTAATATAAACACACAAATTGACGATTACTTCAAAGGTATTGATTGATGTTGTGGAAAAAAAAAGTTTGACACAATCGTATAAAGATATCTTAGATGTCAACAGCTGTTATTTTCCCGTAGGGCATTATAAAACGTGCGATAAATCTCTCAAAAATATTGATTAAGACAATTTATCGCTTTAATTTCAACAAGTTAAACACCTGATTAAAAGTCTGATCAATGTTTTTGCTATTTCATAATACGCAAAAACACAAGGACAAGGACATTTTTGTGTGAAAAGTGTGATTTTATTGCTCTATTTAATTAGCCGTTGCTCTGTTTATTGCTCTGTTAAATTAGCCGTTGATCATAGAGAGAGATCGCAGAGAGAAGTTTCTTGTTAATTTAACGCGTTTTTATGTTACAAATAAAAAGAGCCTTAAATGTTTTAAATAGAGGATATTGGATTTACCGCTCTGCGAAGATACTTAAGCGCGATTATGCTACGTGATGTAAAATTAGTATTGTTGTAGGGGAATCAAATGACCTCCTCTCGTCTACTCTCTACGTTTACACTGATCTTCAATTTCCCTTGTGCGAGGATACCGTTTGCGACCTGACGTAAACACCTCGTATATAGCTATACAATCCTTTCTCGAGCCAGATTTAAAAATGAGTCACGCGTGCGATTTCTTCCGAATAATGTAAAATTTTCCAAACGCTTTAATAGAGATCACTTGTATTCTTATTTCTTCTTTCATTGCGTAAAAGATAAGGCCTCTTTCACCGCTAATATCGCATAATGGTTTTTTTGTACAGAGATAGACTTTCTAATTAGATAAAGTGCAATCAATGTTATCGAAGCAATTAAAAAAAGCATACAAGTCGTCATTAACTGCACCACGGCCATTAAAAGGTCTCAGTAGCGATAAACTTAAGTTTGATATATTAAAATACACTTTTCAAACAGATCTGAGTTAATTACTAATTGTGCTATTTAGCAATATTATAAGAGTTTTACAAGAAAGATTCACTTTATTGCTCAAATTTATATTATTTTGAAATTCAGTGAAATCTATTAGCTACCATGTTTGCCAATTTGCTTTGTGGAATCATTCATGCAATTTAATCTAATGTAATAACATGATCTATCTGTAAATAAGTGATAATGTGGGAATAGATACGAGTATTACTCATAAGCTTCTTGGACTCTGTTTCCTGATAATCGTTCTGTTGATTTTTCTACGCACGCGTCATCAGATTTGTTCAGATTGAAATGATTTGTCACAAAAAAGAATTGTTAGAACTATCGTGATTTGGAGATAAACGTTGGAAATATCTATATATATCGTAAATAAAATTTTAAATGCAGAGTTTTTCGCGCGCGCGCGCGCGCGCGTATAATAAAATATATACATTTAATTAAAATCCTTTGAAAATTTATGATAATTAATTATAAACATTTCCCGCACGTGTGACGATACATTTCAAATTTCTTGATAATAAAAAAACGAAATCACAAAAGTATTTTCAATGGAATTCTCACTCGAATAATTGTCGATTATGCGTTTAATTTTTATTTTATACCATAAAAAATACAATTTTTGTGTTTTTTTATCTTTTTTTTTATTTTACATTATTTAGTTGGATCAAAAGTTGAACCGAATTTTAAAGATAAAATAAAATCAGATATTTAATATATGATTTTAACGAACATTCGCTATTTTGTTTGATGTATTTTCGGGCAGTTTTATTCCACGTGTAAAATTTGGCTTTTGTTAAAATACATCTCAAGGCTGTTTCTGATAGCTTTCAAAAAGTCTGGAGAATTCTTTATCTTTTAACTACTTCAAAGTAATCGGAATAAAAAAAAAATAAAGTGGTGACATAAGCTGTTTCAATAATTGTAACAATTGCATTAATTACAACAATTTTTATCAAAAGTCCAAAAATGCGCGTGATCTTACATATACATTGAATCGTATTTCGTCTTACGTTTGCACAAAAGGTAAAATTGTATACGT